TGTGAGTGAGTATTCTTGATACGAAACCACGACGACACACACCAGTCGCGACTCGCATCGGTTGCCTCCATGAACGGCGGAGCTATTCTCGCGCCCACACCACACCTGGCTCCAACGTGGACACGCCCATAGCTGGGGACACTACTAGGTCACGCATGGCATCACAGAAGTTTTATCTCTGGGCCCCGAAAGGCATCTCTAGCAGTGTCGTTACACATGCCCCCTCCCCTCCTGGGCGCATGCGCCTCACGTCTCGCCAGAGCATAAGCCCTTGGCGTGTGGCGAGACGAGAGCGAGACGAGTTTTTCGCCATGCAGCGAGCAGCAAGCCGCCCGCCGCAAACAGCCGGAGGCCTCGCCGCGGCACTGGCTGCGCCGCGGTCCCGCACCCGTCGACGCAGCTCCCCCCGCGGAAGACCGCGCGTAGCGACGCCTTGACGATCGAGATGAGCGCGCTCCAAGCTCGCCCACCTACTGCCCCTGAGAGTTGGTTACGAGTGGGATCAGCTCCCCCCCTTGGGATCGAAGCTTCCACGACCTCGCACCCAGCATCACAGGCGGGATCAAAAGGGGACACACACACACACACTCACGTATCAGCCCCGCCGAGCTCGATGAACGCCAGCGGGTGAGGGCGGCTATTCTCCCCCGAGGCAGGCACGGATACACAGTCCCTCGTGTCGCGCGTGTAAGTCCCGGTTGCCGTGCGCGCCAGCGCGTGTGGCCGCGTACCTTAGCTAAGATACGCGCGCACGGGCGTGGGTGGGTAAAAACGGGTCACTTTGCGGGGTTTGCCGTCAAGGGGCACGCGTAAACTTGCGGCGGAAAGTGGCGAGCGAGTGGTCGTGTGTCTTGTGAGCCTGTTTGTGTCTGTGTGTCGCTCGTGCGTGTCGTCATCATCTGTCTAGCGTCCACCCATACCGCGTTGGTGTCCAGTCCGAGCCTGGCTGTTCTTCACCTTTCTACCTACCTACCTACCTACAACAACTCTCCTACCTACCTGGTCGTGCGTGCCATGCCCAACGGCATGCACGATGCGAGCAGAAGGTCCGTACCACTCAAGTGATACGTACTACCCTCCGAGCAGTGCTATTAGCACGTACCCAAAAGGGGGACAGGACTCTCTCTCTGCACCTAGCTGTCAAGGAACAAGCCGGATGGGAGGACGGCACGCCGCCACCACACAGGGATTTTAAGGAGCGAAGTGCGGTGCTAGCCTTCCCACCCTCGGGCGTCTACCTCTTCCTGTCGCTGTTCGCAGTCTCTCGCCAATTCTCGCAGCGACCTTCATGCCACCTCGTGGTCGTCCCACTCTCGTCCTCGTTCTCTCTTCCTGCTGCTGTTTCATCCTCTGACTCATCGCTCTCCTCGGCCTCGTTCTGAGACGCCGCTGCCCTCTGCCGATCCCTTGCTCTCGCTGCTTCTCTCGCCTCTCTGCGTAACTCCGCCCTGCTCTCGGCATATTTTGGCCCCTCGAGTTTATCGAGCTCTCCTCGCGCAAGGACCACATTTCTGACTCCCACTCCGATCATTTGCCTCCAAGTCATGTCGTTGCTCAGGTCCACTCTCGTTTCGAGCACTTGTACCTCAACGGTCGGTGTTGGCACTGGGGTTCCCTTCGGGTATATCGTGACAGCTGACGGCCCATCTCTCCTAGAGGTGCCTAGTGCTTTATTTATTTATGTGTTTGGGACGCCGGTCTGCGACAACTGTGACGCCCGCGCGAGTAGTCCTGTCCCTTTAGCAGGGCATCCAGGCACCGCACACCTCAACCTCACAAGACAGCGCTCAGCATAGAGAGGAGAATTCTCATCGTTAATAAGTAAACAAAGAGGTTGACAAAAAGAAAATAAATAAAACGGACACGCCAAGCACCCAGGCTACCGGGTACAAGGGCTCTCTCTCTTGCCCGCAACCCGATGCCAATCGTCTGGCCAACTGGGTGCGCTTCTTACGCCCCCCACAGCAAATCGGTTTTTGCCCTTAAATAGTGCGATTTCCCACCGAGGTCAAGCGAAAATCTCGTTCACCAAAAATCGCACGCGCGTCGAGATCCAAAACTCGACGCGGCCAACTCCAAGCCCAAATCTGGCCAGAGCCCCATTCCTACCAACCGTCGGCTTTCGCCGCTTCTGTTTCCTTGAAAGCGCCGGCACATCAGAACAAGATAAGCCGGACGTGGCGAAGTGCGCGCGAGCGACGTGCAACACGTGTGTCGTCGTCCCCCGACGCTGCACGTGTCCCCCCCTAGGGCCAACCTCCTCCGCCGCCGCCGCCGCCGTTATCCTCAAGATTCGTAATGTCCTACCTCCTCGAAGAAGATCATGTTGACGAAGGCCGTCGTCCCGAGCATGCGCGCCTTGGCGGAGGCGTCGATGCCTTTCGGGAAGTCGAGCTGGAAGGAGTCGGCGTCCGTGAAGACCTGTTCACACATCTCTACCGTGAAGATGCGCTGTTCAACACCTCGCGGCAGATAGCGGCGTCCGTGAAGACCTCGGTACCGAGGCCGCGCCACATCTTCACAATCTTGCCGATCTCCTCGCCCTTGCCCCCCGACGAGCCTGCAGGGTAGATGTAGAACGGAACCTTGCAGTTGCAAAGACCTTCGGCGCAGCAGTCGATGCACCTGCGGTGTGGGATCGGGAGTGTCTCAGCATGGTCACCTCCGATGGGCAGCTTCCCTTGGCGAACGCACATGCCGCCGACGCAGGATGGCATCTGCACCTTGTACTCCTCCTGGCCGGCCGGATCGAAGACGCTGATCTTCGGCAGGCATACGTAGCACGGCAGGCTCGCCCCGCCGAGCGAGTCGCCCGCCCCGTCCTTGAAGGTGATCGCGGGGTTGCAGCAGCAGAGGCAAGCCTAACATGAACCGGACACAACAGCTGATGGTAGGGAGCTTGCGCAAATCAGTGTGTGCACACAGAGACGCAAAGCTGCCCCAGCGCTGAGCGAGAATTCCTTTGACATGGTCATGACCGTGCCGCTGTGAGACTCCTTGGTGCCCGTCCACACTGTCTGAGTGAAAGCCCTATTGTTTTTGCAGCAAAAGCGCATGCAAAAGTCGCTCTCCTCCAGAGAGTAGTAGGTCTCGGCGCCCTTTGCGTCGGCGGCCGAAGGGTAGATCTTGAACTCGTTCGTCGCCTCGCAGCCGAAGCATTCCTGGACGCAGCCCTTCTTGGTCTGCTTCACAAACAGCGATTCGTACTGGCCCAGGGTCTCCGTGTCGGAGCGGTCCATCAGCTGGACCTTCGCCATGGCGATAGCGAGCGGTCTGAGACAAGGCAAAGCGGCGTCTCGCCGAATGAAAACGACACGCAAAAGAATTTTACTACCGTTCACGCGACAGGCGAGGCGCGGGCGACGGCTTCTGCAGAAGCCGTCGCCCGCACCACAGGAGCAGTCACACCACTCCCTCTCCGGCGCCCACCCACTCCCGACTCGGATATTTCAACTTGCCGCCCTTGACGCCGCCGCATCTGGCCCTGCTGCCATCGTTGTAACCCTCGCCGCCCTTGCCGCCGCCTCCCCGACGCGCGCCCGCGACGCCGGCCGCCTCGTCCGCCGCCCCGCCCGCCGCCCGCCGCCTCGCCTGGCCTTCGCGCCCGCCCGCTCGACCGCCGCCACCGCCGGCATCTCGACGGCTGCCGCCTCGCCCGCCCTCAAATCCTGTCCACAAAAATAATTTTTGCCGCATGGCGCAGGGGCGCTCTCTCTTTCCGCGTGCCGTCCTCCCATCCCTCCCTTGGGTTGCCCGCAGTGTGCACATCGCCAGGCAGTCCCGAGTCTAGGGCACCCCCTGGGTGGGGGCCGGCAATTCCCATGCCGGGGCTCCGCCACAACCCCCGCCGGGAGGGAATCCCTGCTCACAGAAAAGGGCTCCGAGCCCTGTCTCGCGCACGCCCCTGGCGGGCGCTGCGGACCAGTTCCGCGAGCGCTCGTCAGCGGGTGGTGTGCGGTTCTTGCCGTAGTTCCTCTTCGGTCGCCTAGCCCCGGCGCCGTCTGTCGGACGCCTGCGTGTCACGAGTGCGAGCCGCTCGCGGTTCGTACGCCCGCTTGCGGGTTCGAGTGGCGGGCCATCCCGCTTGCGGGATGGCTTAGCGGGTTCGAGCCGTCACACATTGGCTGCCGGGGTGTGTGTGCCGAGGGGGGGCTGGGTGGGCGGTAAGCCGTCATTGCCCGGCGCTGCTTGCAGCGCTCTGGGTGGTAGTGGCGGCGCTGCCAAGAGTGGTGCTCTTGGGAAGAGGTTCCTCCTTTCCGCTCCCCCCCCGCAAGGCGCGAGACACACGTCTAGCCTACCTACCCTCTAGCCAGTGAGTGGCAGTGCCGAACCAGGAAGTTCCTCTCTGTCGTTCGTCGCTCACGAGGACGAGGCCCTGCGTTGTTCTCGTTTAGCCAGAACTATACGGATCGAATGCGTCATACAGATATACCACGACCGAACTACACCGGGGAACAGAAAGTCAGAGAAGAGGTGCAATCGGCCGCCTGTCTAGCATGCTGTCCAGCTAGAGGTAGAGCGTACGGATGGCAACACTCTGCCGATATGGAGCGGCCTCGAGGGAGCGGCAGCAGACTCGGATGCTCCGCTGGTCCCCCAGCCTGCATTTGCAAGCGCAACAGGAGGCGGTCCTCCTCGATCGTCCACGGAGTGTAGCTGGAGTTCATCGACACGGTTTTTCGCGTGTGCAGCTTCAGAGAGCGTCCTCGACCGACGGCTGCAGGCTTGCCTCGGTGCTCTTCAGCTGCGTCTCGCTCATTTCTTGCTCCTCGCATATTCCGCACATCACGCCAGGTCCTTGCTGCGACGGCCTCGCCGACATCGCCCGGTCCGCGGCCGTCTCGCTCGTCTTCCGCGCGTCGCTCGCAGAGCAGGGCATCCTCTTGTGGGCGAGATGAGCACACGAGCCAAGCCCGTCGCCGGCGAGTTCGCCCTCTCTGCCGCCGAACGCTCCGCCATCGCCAAGCACCTCCAGTCCTCTGTGCGCAGTGAGCCACGTCCTGCCGCACCGACGACCGCGAGGGTGGTGCCGCCTCCTCGGCCGTGGCCATCGGTGAAGCCGCGCAAGTGCACCGCAAACGAGCTGCCCGCCTACCGCCATCGCGAGGAGCTCCTCGCCACGGTGCGCGCCGCCCGCGTCACGCTTGTGCGGGGAGCCACGGGCTGCGGCAAGTCGACGCAGTTGCCGAGGCTGCTGCTGCTTGAGGCTGCCACGGCGGGGACGCCGTGTGCAATCGTCGTGGCTCAGCCGCGCCGCCTCGCCGCCATGGCGCTGGCAGAGCGGGTCGCGTCGGAGCTCGGCGAGGGCGTCGGCGGCGTGTGCGGCTACCGCGTGCGGGGCGACGCGCGGGCGTCGGCCGAGACGGCGCTCACCTATGTGACGACGGGCGTGCTGCTGCGGCTGCTCGAGGAGGACGCGGCGCTGCAGGGCTTTAGCCACGTCGTCGTCGACGAGGTGAGGCCGTCGCACGGCCACTGCGAGTGTGGCCGCCGCCGTGCCAGCCTCCCTCGCCTGCACTCCCTCTCACCTCCACCAGGTGCACGAGCGGAAGGTTCCTAGAAGGTTCCTAGAAGGTTCCCTCTCACCTCCACCAGGTGCACGAGCGGAGCGTCGAGACGGACCTGCTGCTGCTCGCGCTGCGCCGCGCGCTCGCGGCCGGCTCGAGCGCCAAGGTCGTCCTCATGTCCGCCACGGTGCCCGCCGCGCCCTATTGCGAGTACTTTGCCGCCTCGCTCGGCGGCGGCGGCGGCGGCGGCGTGGCGGTGGTGGAGGTGCCTGGCCGCACTTATCCCGTCGAGGAGCTCTTCCTCGAGGACGACTTTGTGGTTGGTGCCAATTAATAATCACTAGTCAATTAACTACTCCTAGGAGCTCTTCCTCGAGGACGCCGTCTCGAACACGGGCTACGCCTGCGCCGCCGCCTCGGCTCGCGACAGACACGCCGCTGCCCGGAGATGACAACCACGCTCAGAACAGAAGCTTCTATGGGCAATGCGTAGGCTCGCGACACGCCGCTGCCCGTCGAGCCGTCCCTCGGAGCCGCCGCAAAGGCCGCAGCCGCAGCGAGCGAGGCGGCCGACGCAGCGGCGGCGGCGGCCGCGGCCGCGGCCGAGGGGCGCGGCTCCGCCCTCGTGGCGAGCAACCTCGCCGAGCGGGCGGCCAAGCTCGCCAACGGGATGGAGCCTTGCGGCAGCCTTCTCGGACCCTTCCAGGAACGGTCTAGGCGGCCAAGCTCGCCAACGCGGCTGCGGCGTGCGAGGCGAGCCGCGCCGTCGGAGGGGTTGCGAGCGAGTGGCTGCAGGCGATCGTATGTCTCTCTCCCACGCCGCACGCACGCACGCACGCACGCACGCACGCACGCACGCGCACACCATCGTTGCTGCCTCTCTCCTCATCGCTGCTTGAGTGGCTGCAGGGCCTCGGCGCCGCCGGCGCGGCGGAGGCGCTCGGCGCGGCGACGGCTGCGGCCATCCGCAGCATGGACCTGTCGACGGTAGACGAGGTGCGCTTCCCCCGCACCCGCCCAACCTCCCACACGCACGCTCGCTTGCCACCTCCTCCCCCCGCTACGCCAACTGCCTCCATCACTACCGCGCGCTCCCCCCCCTCTCCAAGTGCTGCCTCCTCACTCCCCCCTCCGCGGCTCGGTTGAGGCGTTGGTCGAGGCGCTGCTTCTGCGGCACCACAGCCAGGAGTGCGGCGACGGCGCCGCCCTCGTCTTCCTGCCCGGTGTGGCCGAGATCGAGCGGCTGGCAGAGCGGCTGCAGAGCCACGCCGCGCTGCACGCCGTCCGGCTCCACTCGCAGCTCGCGCCGGCGGAGCAGCGGCTGGCCTTCCAGCCGGCGCCGCGGCGCGGCACCACGAAGGTGGTCCTCGCGACGGACATCGCCGAGACGTCCGGCACAACACACGACGTGACGTTCGAGAGTACACCCGAGATGACCCGAGATCGTACCGAGATTAGGTCCGTCACGATCGACGACGTGACGCTCGTGATCGACGGTGGCCTCCGCCGCACGCCTATCAAAGTATCGATGACCTGAGAGCGATCAGTCACTCACGAGTCGCCAGTCAATAGGTGGCCTCCGCCGCGCGCCTTCGGTCGACGCGCGGTCTGGCATCGTGGCGTTGCGAACAGAGCGCGTCTCTCTCGCGGCGGCCAAGCAGCGCGCCGGCCGCGCGGGCCGCGTGCGGGCTGGCCGGTGCTACCACCTCTACTGCAGGGTCGAGGCGGAGCGCGGCATGGCGGCCGCCCCGCTCGCCGAGATGCGGCGAGCGCCGCTCGAGCACGCGGCGCTGCGCTAGTGAATCCGTTGCTGAGAGCTGCCACGAATGAATCACTGACAGGCGAGTGCCGCTCGAGCCCGCGGTGTTGCGCTTGCACGCGCTCCTTGCCTGCTCGGACGTCGCCGAGGCTCTCTCCGGCGCCTTCGAGCCGCCGGAGCCCGTCGCCGTCGAGCGCGCCGTCGCGTCGCTCGTCGGCTTGGGCGCCCTTGCGCAAGATGGCGCCGGCACGGCCCTCACGCCTCTCGGCCTCCGGCTCAGCCGGCTGCCCACCGCGCCGCACTTGGGCCGTGCGCTGCTCTGCGCGCGCGCGCTCGGCTGCCTTCGCGAGGCGGCGCTCCTCGTCGCGGCGCACGAGGCCAGTGACGATCCCTTCGGCCGGAGGACGGCGGCGGCGGGCGCCGCGAGGAGAGCGCTGGACGGCACCTCGGACCACCTTGCCTTGCTCCGCGCGCACGGCGAGTGGGCGTCCGCCGAGGGAGGCGAGCGGCGCGGCGTGGCGGAGCGGCGCGGCCTGAGCGGCGCCGCGCTGCGCAATCTCGGCCGCGACGCGTCGAGGCTCGTCGAGAGCGTCGAGAAGGCGTGCGGCGGCGCGGCGGCGCCGGCCGGCCACTCCATCGGTGGCTCGAGCCCTGCCGCGCTTGTCAAGGCGAGCCTGATCGCGACTGGGCGTGCCGCCCTTCTCACGCGGCCGAGTGGCGGTGGGAAGCGGCCCGTCGAGCTCCGCGGCAGGGCGGGGCGGGCCGAGCTGGCGCTGCGCCCTCACGTCGCGACGGTGCTCGGCGGCAGCGGCGTCGCCCTCCCTCCGGGCCAGCTGTGCTTGTCGCTCGCGGCGATGCGCTCGGCGGCCGGGCTGACTGCGCTCGACACCACGCTCGTCTCGCCGCTCGCGTGCCTGCTGCTCGGGCCGAGCCTTGCCGCCCCCTCTGCAGAGGGGGCGCACGGGAGCGGTTCCGTCGCCGTCGACCTCGCGGGCGAGGTCGTGGTGTTGGCGGCGGACGACGCGCGCGCGATTGGCGAGGTGCGCGCCCAGCTCGAGGCGGCGATCGGCGGCGGCGAGGCCGGAGGCTCTTTGACGGCTCTCATGGCGGCGCTGCTAAAACCAATGGAGGTGCCGTGGGCTGGATTGCCCGACGGATGGCGATGCGAGGAGGACGAGACGGGCGCGCCGCGCTACCGCTCTCTCGTCGACCCCTCCCACGCCACGCGCCACCGGCCGACCGTCAGCGCCGCGTGCGCGGCCGCGAGTGCGGAGGCGGGGCGGGGGTCGCTCGAGCGTGCGAACGCGGAGCATGCGGCCAAGCAGGCGGCCAGGCAGGCGGCAAAGGCCACGGCGGAGGCCGAGGCGGCCGAGGCGGCGGCGGCGCGGCGGGAGGCGACGCGGGAGGAGGATGAGGCGAGGGCACGGGCGGCGGCGGCGGCGGAGGCGGCGCGGGTGGAGGCCGAGGCAGAGGTGTTGAAGCATATTACGCGGGCGCGCGCGGCGGCGGCCGAGGCGGCCGAGGCGAGTGAGCGGCGCCAGTCGGGGGTGGCGGGCAGCGTGCACGGCGTCGCGAAGCTGCTGGCGGAGCTGGAGCTGGCGGACAAGTACACGGCGGCCTTTGCGGCGGCGGGCTACGACGACGCGGCCCTCGCCGAGGTGGCAGAGGCGCTCGATGACGACCGCGAGGCGGGCACGGCCGCGCTCGACGAGATGATCGAGGCTGTGGGGTTGCGCGGGGGCTCCGCGGTCAAGGTGCGCAAGAGGATGCTGGAGCCGCCCAAGCGGGGCGGCGGCGGGGGGGGAGGTGGCAAGGGCGGCGGCGGCGGGGGAGGCGGCAAGGGCGGCCGAGGAGGCGGCGGCGGCGGCGGACGAGGAGGGGGCGGCCGAGGAGGCGGCGGCAAGGGCGGCGATGGTGACAAGGATGGCAGCAGGGGCAGAGGCGGCGGCGGCAAGGGCGGCAAGGTGAAGGAGCGAGCCGCCGGACGCGGAGGTGGACGTGGAGGAGCCTGACATGTTGCATCGCACGTGTGCAGTCCGATTACAGTCCTGTATCAAAAAAGACAAAACTTGTACTCGAGTATCGCTCGCGCTTCACGTGGCACCCCATCTCTACATGTGCATGTGCAAAATGCACATACACATGCACAAAGCAGCAGATCCCCTACCCGCCGGCATCACCCATGGCGATCGGTTCATGGCAGCAACCGCAGATGGCGAGACTGTGGAACTAGAGTGCCCCGAAAATGGCAAGACCCGGACAGCAGATCGTGTTCATGGCTGATCCGATGGAGGGCGTAGGAAAAAAATTTAGCGCGGCTCGACCTCTTTGAGTCACTGCCTTCGCCGGCGGTATGGCTGTAGAGCCTCTACGACAAACTCTACAGCGAAATCGCGCTCTATATCTGATAAATACGAGATGTATAAGCGTGTTTAGTGTTCTCCCACACGCAGGATATGTGAGGTTAATGAGACCGCACTCCAAGTGGCTCCATCCTCCAAGACCAAGTGCTCCCTCACCACAGAGTGTACTAAACCGCTGAAGGGCGGCATATCTTCATGTCGCACTGACTTCACGTTGAGGCTGAGCCGACTGGACGAGAGAGAGAGCAGTGCCAGAGCATGGGTTAGAGACGTAGCCTGCTGGCAGCGCCACTGGCTAAACCCAATGGTGGAAACTGCAAGCCATCCTTGCCGGCCCGTCTGCTGTTGACGAGCGGCACCCCCCATCGCTCCCTCTCAATAGCTGCTGTCGGGCCGTTCGGCTCTGGCGCTAGGAGTTTGCCGAACCCATGTTCAAGGTCTGTGACGCGCTTGGCCATGGCTGTGCAGCTCTGAGCAAGCCCAGCCTGCTGGGCGGCGCTCGCCTGGAGCTTGCGGCGGGCCGCCCGGGCCTCCTCCTCAGCCCGGCGTGCTTCCAGTGCCCGACCGCGTATCCGCGTCTCTGCGATCGCCAGCTTGGCGTTCAGAAACTCATTTCGCTCGCGAAGTGCGCACGCCTCTTCCGTCAAGCCCTCCCGTTCCTCCCACCCTCGCAGCTGCTCTCTCAGCTGGCCGACTTGCAGACGCTCTCCCTCCAGCTCGTCCGCCAGGCTCTCTGTAGCAGCCGCCTCTGCATGCAGCCGCAGTGTGAGATCCCGATTCTCCTGTTCGGCTGCCCCGTGCTTGCTCACCAACCGCTCGTGCTCCGCTGCGAAGGCCTCCACTTGGCGCAATCGTCGACGGAGTGGCGCGAGAGTAAGGAGGTAGCACGCGCCCAAGCATTTGGCCGCCAGACGCTGCTGCTGGATCAGCTTCGCGTGGTCCTGCTCGCGCTGCTCACTTCGCTCGAGGTTGGCAGTGTGTGTCGCCAGCTCGATCGACCTCTCGTGCAAGTGCTCCTCGCACAACGCCAGAGTAGCCACGAGCGTCTGGTTGTCAGCGAGCCGCTCTGCGTGCCCCTGCGTGAGCGCAGCCTCGATGGCACCGTGTGCGTCAACTATTGCAGCCTCGTGAGCCCGCGCAAGTTCAGCCTTGCCAGCCTCGAGCCGCGCACAGTGCGCCTGCGTCTCGGCGAGCGCCTCTGCAACAGACGCCCGTTGCGCCTGCTCCGACTCGAGCGACTGCTTCAAGGCATCACGCTCGATATTGGTGCGAGCGACCTCGGCCAATAGTGTCTCCTTCTCTCGCGCCAGCTCCTGGACCTCCTCGGCATGATTCGCAGCTCTCGCCTGCCGAAGCTGCTCCAGCAAGTCCTGCTCGAGCGTGCGGTGCCGGTCTATCTGCGCCTCGAGCCGTGAGACCATCTCGGCCAGCTGGACCGACTCCTTTTTGCAATGAACCACGTCCAGATTCAAGTCCTTCAGCTGAGCCCTCAGGAGATGCGTGGTCTGCTGCTCGGCAAGAAGCTGCTCGCGGATTTTGACCTTCTCCGCCTCGAGCTTTCTGGTGAGGATCTGGTGATTTCGCTTTGCAACCTCTGCGCCCTGTGTCGCGCGTTTCGCTGTCTCCGCGGCCTCGTCCGCCTCGGCAGCCTTTTGGCGCAAGTTTCTGCCTTTCGATAGAGCGGCCGCGTGCTTCCTGCTGAAGACCTCGGCGGTCTGCGACTTCATCTTTTCCGAGTCCACTCGGCCGACAATGGAGCGGCGCCGCGAGCCGGACCGCCCCACCGCTTTGGTCGCTGGTGCAGCAAACATCTCGTTGACGGACTCGACCGCAAAGATACCAACCATCCTCGCGAGGGTCAGGCCGAGCGCAGGCTCCAAGATCGCGAGCTCCTCGATGGCATCGTGCCGCAGCCCCCCGAGGACACCATCGGACGCACCGACAATGTCGCACGGGAGCACGCGCCCGCCATCGTAGTAGCTGCTCGCATTCGCAACGTGGCCGGCAGAGCGGGTGGCTAGCGTGTGGTTGTCTATCCTGAGATCCACCGAGCCGTCGAGCACAAAGCATATGTAATCGTTCTTCGCAAAGCGGTCGACGACCCTCTCTCCAGCTGCAAAACGGTGGAACTCGAAGAGGTCTGCTATACGTTTGAGATCCGCCTGCGACATCACGACCTCGCACTCGACGGGCCCAAGGCGGCCGCCTTGCAGCCATTTTGTCAGGGCACTCTCCGCCTGCTTTGGCGCTAGGTTCCAAGCCAGCGGCGGATGCGCCGCTGGATTGTGTGCCAGTTGATATACAGAGGACGCGCCGAAGACACGGATGAGCTTGACGGCAGTGTGTGCGCAGCTGTCGAACAGGGCTTCGAGGTTTGGCATCATAATGAATGCAAGAACGCCACTCTTGGCGCCGCGAACGTCCGCTAATCGCTTGCCGCCTGTGAAAAAGGCAATCTCACCCACCACCTTCCCAGCGCCCATGCTGCCTACAACCCTACCGTCGGCGCCGGCCGCCTCCAGCTCGCCGCGGAGGACGATGCCGACCCAGGTTGCATCCTCTCCCTGCTGCATGACCACTTCGCCCTCCTCATAGTCAAAGAAGTGCAGGTGGTGCGACAAATTGGTCAAGTCTTCGAGCGTGAAGACCCCCAGTAGGGTTGCGGCGTGGACTTGCGCCTCCTGCAAGAGCGCAACTGCGTCATCGGGGTCGACCTTTCTGGGCTGCGACGACGCGTCCATACGGGATCAGGCGTCGGCGCTTCGCCCGGCAGGACGTCGCCCCCTGCGCCGTCGCCGCCGTCTCGCGAGCTTTTCAAGAGTCGTTTCAGACGTCCGTTACCTGATTGGAGAGGCGGCGAAATGAGTTTGGGGTGGGGAAATTGCAAGCGGCGAGGAAGAGGTAGAAGAGCAAAATGGAGAAACCATCGCATAAGATGAATTCACAGCCACGATCGCACCGAGTAAGTAGCTCGTGCGTCCATTTGCGAGGGACCAGTTGTCGCAAAGGGACAGACAGAGGAGCGCGCCCACTCGAAGGCCGTCGTCGATTGGGAAGGTATGGGCTCAAAGGGCTGTGACAGCACGGATGCGCTCGTATTCTTCACCGCGCTCGGCGCCGGCACCGCAAACGGCTTGTTTACAAAGTCGATGTTCCAGCTCACTGCCGTCGGAAACACTGGCGAGGAGGAGCTCTTCAAGCCAAAGCTTCTCAACACCCTGCTGATGTTCTTTGGCATGTCCCTCTCGCTTATCGCGCACAAGTTCTTCAGCACGGCAAAAGAATCACTTCCTCCGAACCAGCTCATCCTCCTCTGCGTCCCTGCATTCGCCTCTCGTCCCTTGGGCAACGACATCAGCTTGCGGACGGACTCCATTACCCTGTTGTCCTGTAGGCCCTCTTCGACCTCTGCGCCACTGCCCTTGGCACTCTGGCGCTGCTGCTGCTGCCCCTCTCGATGTGGCAGCTCCTGCGTGGCAGCGTCATCATATGGGTCGCTCTGGTGAAACACTTTGTGCTCAAGGACCACCTGACGAGTAATATGTGGTGCGGGGTTCTCTTTGTGGCGCTTGCCATCACTGTCGTCGGGCTCGCTGGGGCACTCGGCGGCGGCGGTGGCGACAGCGGCGCATCTGGTAGCACCTTGGCCCTCGGCATCTTTCTGACGCTTTGTGGCACCCTCACGGCTGGAATCCAGTTCGCGGTCGAGGAAAAGATGATGAGCGGAATGGCGGCTCCGCCGCTGCTACTCGTCGGCATGGAGGGCATCTGCGGGTTCGTCATCACCGTCTGTATCTTTTACCCTGCCTACTATTACCTGCCGGGGGACGATCATGGACACTTCGAGGATGCCTTCAATACCCTGGCCAAGCTGCGCAACTCGCCGACCGCAGTATTCTTTGTGTGCTGCTATACTGCGCTCGTCTTCACGTTCAACGTCACGTCCATGTTTGTTGTCCAGCGACTTTCCGCCGTGTGGAAGGCCATCCTGCAGAACTGTAGGCCAGCCTCCATTTGGGCCGCGCAGCTGGTTATCTACAATTTGACCGGCGGCGAGTTTGGCGAGGCGTGGGCAGGGTTCGCGTCCTGGATGCAGCTTGTCGGGATGGGGCTGCTGCTCCTCGGAATTGCCGTGTACAATGGGTCGGTGCCTCTGCCGTGCGTGGACAGCACGGAGGCCTCCGAAATCCACGAGCCGTCGTTGTGCGAGACCGCCGCCGTCTCCGCGGGCACCCGCTACGCGTCCCGAGCCTCACGCGTGTCGTCGAGCAGGCTCACGTCGAAGCTGCTGCCTGAGTGAGCTGTCTTGGGAAGTGAGCGCTCCCAGGTCGGCTCGCCGCTGCCTGGAGTGGGGGTGTGGCTGCACGTCGACACAGCGCCACCGGGGCCGGTGTGGTTAGTGGTGGACGAGTGAGGAGAGGGGAGATATGTAGATATGAGAAAAGCTGCGTGTTGAATCGGGACGTTCCCGCGACTCTGTGTGGGAGGACGACTTAGCTGAGGAAGAAAGCGAATCGACTTTGCCAGCTCGCTTTCTTCCTCAGCTACCTATCCAGTGGAGGTCTGTGGCACCTCAAATCCTGACGACCCGGCCACACCCCAACCCCCGAAGTTGGAACCCTTCCCGTATGCTCGCTGTTCAGCGCTGTCGACGGTGTTTCGACACCGATATCCCATGGCCACGCAGGACATGGTGATGTCCTTTCTCGACCAGCAAGTTCGCAGCAAGCTCCAGGTCCGGCCGCCCGAGGACGGCACCGCAGAGGCTGAGGCAGCGGAGGCGGAGTGGGCGGCTCGGTGGAAGACGTGGATGCACCCGTGGCGCTGTGGAGCGCCGGCTGCTTCACCCACAGCCAGCTGCGACGGCCGACCCGTGCGAGAGAGGCTGCTGCTGCTCTCCGAGTCTCCTCTCGTCTGGGCTATCCCCGGCTTCTGTTCTCACGAGGAGTGCGCTCGCCTCATCCAACTCGGCGCGCGTGGACTGCAGCCTCCTCCGGGCTGGTCGCCCGAGTGGAGAGGCCGGCAGGTTGCGAAGACGACCGTGGCGGGTGGGGCGTCGAAGGAGGAGGAGGAGCGACTACTCGCCACGCTCAGAGAGAGGGTGCACTCACTGCTGGGCTCTCCGGGCGAAGGCTCGCTGGGCCTGCAGCTATCTTTCAACGCACCCGAGGAGGAGGCGGGGCTCACGATTGGGTTGCACACAGACCTCAACAACGGGGCCGAGTCTCGCTGGGCGACCGTCCTCCTCTACCTCAACACCGTCCCGCCACACGAGGGAGGAGCCACCGTCTTTCCTGCCGCCAGCGCGGTGACAGCTGCCGGCACCGCGCTGGAGCCGCCACTGAAGCGGCCCTGCAGCGGAGCAGCGGAGCAGAGCGAGACCGCGGAGGGCGCGGCGGCGGAGCAGAGCGAGGCGGCGGAACAGAGCGCGGCGGCGGAGCAGAGCGAGGCGGCGGAACAGAGCGCGGCGGCGGAGCAGAGCGCGGCGGTGGTGGATGCGAGCGCCGCGAGGGCGGCGGCGGAGGAGCTGTCCGCGCTGGGCGTCACCAGCACCTCGGACGCAGTGAGCTTCGCTGTTGAGGAGGATGGCGAGGTCAGCGTGGAGTGCCTCGAAGGCGGGGGTGCTGCCGCGGTCCTCACTGCCGCCGCGCAAGCTGCGGCGGCATCGGCCCTCACCGCCGCCCCTCGCGGCAGCCGTCAGGGCGTCCTCAGCAGCCACGGCCCTAGCGGCGTCGGGCTCTGCGTGCACCCCTCCGAGGGATGCGCCATCCTCTTCTACTCACAGAGCGGAGGAGGAGGCGTGGATCCCCTCTCGTGGCACGGTGGAGCCGCCGCGGCGGGCCTCGGCAAGTGGACGGTCCAGTGCTTTGCGACGCTGCCCGAGTCTGTGCGCGGCGACGAGGCGCGAACCAGAGCCTTCCTGTCCGCTCACCGCATCGGGAGGGACGGGGACGGAGATGTGACATGAACCTCGTCTCAACTTGAAATTGATAAGAGAGCTAAAAAGCCACTCTGCTCTCTTTGCGCGCCGCGCGGCGTTTTTATGTCGTGTGGGCCTGGTTGGTCAGCCCGTCGTGCGCCGAGCCCCCGCAAGGCATGCCGGAGGGGACGGATCGGGTTGGGGCGCAGCAGCTCCCTCTCTCCCTCCCTCCTCTCCGATGCGCAGCGCGCCGGACGCCGCGACCATCGACTCTGACTGTCATGTCTGACTGACCTTGGATGCCGAGAAGCGACCCCGTTTCGCGCGGGCGAGCTCACAAGAGGTGGCGCTTGTTGTTTGACGCCTTGTAGTACAGAAACGCGGCCACCACGAGCAGCTGCGCGCAGACGCCCATCCCGACCAGGCCGAGGGAGCCGGAGCCCTGCGCGGCGGAGCGCTCCAGCAGGGTGTTGACCGCGTTGCGCACCTCCTGCCCCTCCCTCCGCGCCTCGCCCAGGCCCCTCGAGAGCTCGGCCACCGAGGCTTCCACAGCCTGCGCCATGAGTGCCGCCAGAGTCAGGGCGGCGGGGCACGGCCTCGCGTGCCGTCTACTCGAAGCGTCGCGTGGATTCGAAGGGCTCGCGTGCGAGTACCGCTGCAATGCAGCGGAGCGCAGCCGAGTGCAGCCGAATACAGCAGGATGCGGCTGAGTACGCGTCCTCTCGAGTGCTCGTCGGGCGAGGCGGCCTCCGCCGCATCTAAAAGGGAATCTAGGGTCCGCAGCCTTGAGCCGCCCCTCGAGCCCGGACTGCAGCGTGCGCACGGGCGCGACCTCGGCGCGCAGCGCGGCCTGTTCACGGCTGAAGGCGTGAAGAGACGCCGTTCGCGCTGCACAGCGCCGCCGGCGCGGCCTCCGGCAAGCAGCGGGCGGGCCTGCGTCTTTTGAGCCGCGTCGCGCAGCTCAGACTTGAGCTGCTCGGTGTTCGCGCTCAGCTCGGCGGCGGTCACCTCGTTCGTGGGCGCGGCGGGCGCGCCCGGGGCGGCAGGCGCGCCGGGTGCGCCGGGCGCGACGAGGCCGTCTCCGCCGCCTGCGGGGGAGGAGTGGAGGGGGCAGAGGAGTGGAGGGGGGGAGTGGAGGGGGGGAGTGGAGGGGGCAGAGGAGGGGATGGGGGGGGAGTGGAGGGGGAGAGTGGAGGGGGGGAAGGGGGGGTGGAGGCGTGTAGGGAGGAGGGGGGGGGGGCGGGGGACGATACGGCTGGGGTGATCGCCGCCTCCTCGCCGCTCGACCGCCTCCTGCAGCGTCTGCAGCCGCTGGTCGACTGCGGTGCGGTCAGGGCCGGGGTGAGTCGGGGTCGGGGATTGGGGTGGGGTGCCAGGGCTAGAGCTAGGGTGAGGGTGAGGGTTAGAAGAGGAGGGGGTCAGTCTGCGGTGCGGTGCGCAGTGCTGCATGTCTGTGAGACTGTATCCCGGGGGGGGGGGGGGGTGAGGCGGGCCTGCGGTGCGGTGGGCGACGAGCGCGAGCACGTCGGTGCGCACGTCGGCGAGTGTCGCGCGCGAGGCGTTGCACTGCGCGTGTACCTCCCACATGGACGCCTCGAGGCCGCGGAAGGGGGGGGGTTTGAGGAGGTGCGGAGGGAGGGGGGTCATGGCGAGGAGATGTGAGGAGGTGCGGGGGGAGGGGAGGGGTCGAGGCGGGGGGGGGGGGGGGGGGACGGCCCCTCCACACCGAGCAGCTCGTGCGCGAACCGAGAGAGGTACTCGTCCTCCGACGTGGGGGGGGGCACCTTCCTTCATTAATTAATCACGGATTAGTTCTTCAATCAATGAGAGGGACTCGTCCCCAGAGTGGTGAGGGGCACCGCCGTCGCGGGCGCCGCCTGGTCCCCCTAAAGGGAAGGGGGCGGGGGAGGGGGAGGGGGAGGGGGTGGGGGAGGGGGCGGGGGAGGGGGCGGGGGAGGGGGTTGGGAGGTTGGAGTTTGGGGCTGGGGGTGGGGGTTTGTAGGTTGGGGGTTGGGGGGTTGGGGGGAGGGGGGAGGGGGGGGGGGGAGCATCGTGTGTCCGTCTGTCTGTCTGTCCGTCTGTTGGGCGGCCGCCTGCAGGTTTTGCTCGCCGGGGAGGTGCGCCTCAAGCACGGTCGGGTCGGTCGCCACGGCCGGCCGCTCCGGGTGCGCCGCGTCCTCGCCGCCCGCGTGCACGCGGACGTCGTCTGGGACCTGCGGCGAGTCGAGGCGAGGAGGCGAGTGGGTGGGGCGGGGCGGGGCGGGGTGGGGTGAGGCGAGGCGAGGCGAGAGGCGAGGCGAGGAGAGGCGAGAGGCGAGAGGCGAGGGGAGGCGAGAGGCGAGGGGAGGAGAGGGCAAGAGAAGGGCTCCTGGTCCGAGATTGGCGTCGGCGCGAGCGGGTCAGCCCCGTCGCGGGCTGCGCCAGTCAGGTTGGCGACGGCGAGCGAGTAGACGACGTGCGTGTCTGCGTGAGCGCCCGTCATGGCGGTGACGCCAAAGTGTCCGACACGAGGCAAGTCGTACCTGCGGCCGCGTCGTGGACGTGTCCTGGACGTGTCCTAGCGGGCGGTGTGTCGGCGGGCGCGCTCCGAGGGCGGCGGTGCGAGCAGAGGGGAGGCGGCGGTGCCGGAAGGTGTGTGTATGCGTCGGCAGGTGTGAGTGTCTCGGAGAGGTGTGCGGTACCGCTTGTCTTGCTTGGCAAGCTGCGAGTGTCTAGGAGGTGTCTAGGAAGTGTCTAGGAAGTGTCTCGGAGAGGTGCGCGGTACCGCTTGTCTTGCTTGGCAAGCTCGCGCAAGTTCACCTAGCAGAGGGTCCGAGAGGGCTCCTGGACGGCTCCTAGAAGGACCCAGCCGGCTAGGCGCCAGCCCGCCCCACCGTCTCGATGCAGGGCTGGAAGTGGTTCGAGGAGGTGAGGTCGAGCCAGACGCGGAGCTGGCCTAGGATGAGAGTCAGGGTCCGGGTCCGGTTAGGGGGTAGGGGTCAGGGTTAGGGTCAGGGGAGGGGAGGGTCCGGGCCAGGGTTACGGGCTAGGGGTTCGGGGTTAGGGGTAGGGGTAGGGGGTTAGGGTCTGGGCTAGGGGTTAGGGGTTCGGGGTTCGGGTCAGGCGCGGAGCTGGCCGTTGGTCCACGCGATGCGAGCGCGCACGATGTTCTTCAGGTTGCGGTAGGCGGCGTAGCAGATGCCGACCTGGTGCTCGACCGCCTGCGCGCGGCGGTGGCCTCGCGTGGTGAGGCGGCACCTGGCCGCACCTGGCCCCGCGGGAAGCGACTCGGCTCTGCGCCCGGATTTGACTCGGGCGGGAGGGTGGGGCGGTGCCAACGGGATGCTCACTGGCTCTGCTCGACTCCATGGCGCGCAGCGGCAGGCTCGCGGCGAGGCGGCACACGCCACACGCGGGGCGGGCGAAGGGCGGCGCTCGCAGCAGAGGCGGCGAGAGGGCGGTTGCGAGAGGAGCGGCACGACTGCAGCCGCGGGTTTGGCGAGCGAGTGCGGGGTGCGGCCGCGAGAAGGCTGGTGAGAAGGTTCTCGGAGGTGGCGCCTGCTCGTGCGCTCCTTCGTCTATGCTCGTGCCGTCATTCAGGACGGCGACCACGAAGGGCTCGACTCGCTCGCCGCTCTCGCCGCCGCCGTACGAGTCGAACAGTATCCCGACGCCGCGGAAGTCGTCGCTCTGGCCGTACATCGCGCCGGCGCGCCCCTGCTGCTCTGTGAACCAGACCGCCATGCCGCCTCCCGTCGACTGGCGCGGGTCGCCGCCGATGTGGAACTCGAGCTGCACCTCCCAGTCGTCGATCTCGATGGGCTCCGTGGTCCAGATCCAACCCAACTTGTTGGACGTCGCAGTCGTCAGCATTATGTAGTCGTTGTTGAGCGAAGTCTCGCCACCATACTCCCAGCCCGGGATGTTGCCGCCCGCGTATGCCTTGTACGGATTGGAAAAGCTGAGCTTTGGCGGGGAGTATGGCATCGGGGTGAGGTCCACCTGTGCGTCGGCACCCTTGCCGGCCGTCGCAGGGGAGAGAGGGCCACTCAAAGCGAGGACCGAGGCGTCCGCACTCATGAGGGCGGCAGCGAGGGCCGCCATCGTAAGTCGGTCGCAGTGGAGCCGCGAGTTGTGGGTGAGCTGGCCAGGCCCACGCGATTTTTTTCAACCCGCGCACTCTTCACTAGAGCCCTCACAGCACACTGTGAGAGTCCCGTGAAGGTTCACGGGGCCGACTACAGTGTACAGCGGGGAGGAGTGGATTTTTTTGATCCGACGCCCAATCGCGGACCCCAGCGGTGAGTGTCCCAGCGGCTCTTGGCTCACTCTCAGCGTCTCCATCGTGTCTCAATGATCACTCCGTCTAAAAAAGAAAGAAAAGAGGCAACCCAAGGGAGGGATGGGAGGACGGCACGCCGCCATCACACAGGGATTTTAAGGAGAGGAGTGTGGTGCTAGCCATCGCCCACCCTTGGGCGTCTGCCCCTTCCTATCTCTCTCTTAGCAGTGCCTCGCCGATCTCGCTGCAACCTTCATGCCACCTCGCGGTCGTCCCACTCTCGTCGTTCACTCGTTCTCTGCTTCTCTCTCTTGTCGCTTCGTCTTCTGTCGCGTCGCTCTCCTCTGCCTCGTCATGCGACGCCGCCGCCGCCTGCCGATCCCTTGCCTCGCGGTCTCCTGATCACTCCGTCTCACTTCGTACAAACGAGGAAACTTTTCTTTGCAAAACGCGGGAATCTCCGTCGCCCGCGAAGTACACGAATCGGATACGACGGAGAAGAGGTTGCGTTCCCAGAGTTCTGCGACCCTCAAGGCCGCCACGGAGATGCCGACTGGCGCAGCGTCGTCCAGTTATGGCCCCGAAACGAACGTGGTGGACATCGTCATTATTGGTGCTGGCCTGAGCGGGCTAGTCGCCGCTGCCTACCTCAAAAAGGAGGGGATAGACTCCTTTATCGGTCGTCGACGAGGGTGCGCACGGCCAGGCATCTAGATGCCTCACGCAGTCGACTGCACACCCCTCACGCATCGCGGTGCGGCAGCGGCAGCTCTGTCATTGCACGGCAACACGTTGTGTCACGCTCCACACAGAGCTCAGCCGAGACGCCACTTATGGCCAGCCTCTCAAGCCGAGACGCCACTTATGCCCAGCCTCTCGCCTCAATCCCCTGCCACCTTCGAGCGTGTAACGCAACGTGCCTGGCGGCGTGCCTCCCTGCAGGCGCTGTAGGAGGCACCTGGCGCGACCACCACTTTCCAAACGCTGGGACAGACACCGAGGTGCCAACCTACTACCCGTCTTTCCTGCCGACCCCCGAGACTTCCTCGCAGTTTGGTGAGCGCGACGAGATCCTGTCGTACTTTGCGCCCGTTTTTGCCCATTTTCGGTCATCCGTCAAAATATCTGAAGATCTGAATGGGGGATTCTCCCCAAACCTTGCTCAGCTGATCCAGCACGGGCCGTACCGGTAGGCCAGCCCTGGCCAAAGAAACCAGCACCTCAACCGGCTTCCCTGAGCGTCACAGCTCGGTGATCGCGCCGGCCGGACACCACTGTAACGTCCGTTCCGGGCATTTGAACGCGACCTTCGGGGGCAAAGACATGGGCTCTATCGATGGGCTCTATGGCTCAGACTGGACTCCTCTTGGTCCCTTCTGATGCCCTAGGCCATACCTGGGCCTTACCCGGGGTTCTAGGGGCCGGGCGGGGTTTGCCCCCTGAAACTGGCCCGAGGGACCTTAAGGAGAGGAGTGTCGTGCTAGCCGGCGCTCGCGCTTTCTTTTCTGATTTCGCGCTTCTCTTTTTTTCCGCGACGCTTCTTCACCATGTCGCATCAAGCACTGCTCCTGCTCCTCTCGATCGCCGACGTCGGCGCTCTCCGCACGCCGCTCAGCGCCTCGCGCCGCGCGGTCCTCGCCGGCGCGCTCGCTCTGCCTGCCTCGTCGCGGAGAGCAGTCGCGGACGACTCGTCAGACATCGAGGTGTATTTCGGCTGCGGCTGCTTTTGGCACGTGCAACACGAGTTTGTGATGGCGGAGAAGAAGCTCTTGGGCCGCAGCGACCTGCAGATCACATCACGGGCTGGCTACGCTGGCGGCTCGGGCATGCAAGACGGCAAGGTGTGCTACCACAACGCCGCACAGATTTCGGACTACGGCTCGCTCGGCCACGCGGAGGTGGTGCGGCTCCGCATCCCTCCCACCTCCTTCCGCGCCTTCGCCGAGGAGTACGTGAAACTCTTTGACAAGGACGGCAACCGGCCGGACCAGCTCGGCGACCGCGGCCTCGAGTACCGGAACGTCGTCGGCATACCGGGCGGCGGCGGCTCACCGCTGGCGAAGGAGCTGGTTGATGCGAGCCGAGAGAACGGCGACAAGCTCGACTTTGCGAAGGGCAAGGGCGGCGATCCAGACGCGCGCGCCGTGGCATTCGTCATGGACACTAACTCGCACCCCTTCTACCTGGGCGAGCTGTACCATCAGTTTCACGATGGGTTCGCCTGGGGCGAGGACTACCCCGGCGAGTACAACGGCATCACGAAGAAGCTGGTCAAGTCCAACATGCTCGCAGACGCGGGCTGCCCGAATGGAATGCTCGGCGTCGGAATCGCCGGACTATGACCGACGCACTCTCTTACGTAGGGGCTCATCCTTCTTGACACTCGAGCTTTTTACACGCACCGCGAAAAACTCGCAGACGCCACGCATCTTATTTTCTCTTTCCGCTGTGTGCCTGCTTCGATCCTCCTCTCTACGACCTACGAGTCTTAGCAAGAGGTCTCTACTGGCTCTTATACACACGGCGGCATGGACACGTGATGCCTCCATGTCCCGGCCGTCGAGTCAAAATCGACATGCGAGTCGATCTTTGGCCCGACAGAGGGATATGTGCGCAGTGCGGCGTTTCGGGCGACAAACAGCGCTGCGACCGCGAAGTGGCGGTGGACATGCTCCCATGTTGCCGACGCGGCGCCGGAGTGGCCGGCGCTGCTCGCCGCGACCACGACGGCTACTCCGATGCTCCGGGCCGACCCGTCCTACACCCGACGGTGCCGGTGGCACTAGAGCTGTCAAACGTTAACTTTGGGCCTAACAGTTGCACTATTGTTGGCTGAAAATCCTCAACGTTGTTCAAGTGTTCTCCCCAGCCCAAGCTGTTACTGTTTGTTACTGTTGTTAACTGTTGTTCAGCGGTCAGCAAGCAGAAAATGCCAAAAAACCGCCGTCGATCCAATCAAATCATCCACCTTCAACATCCAGTTCGGCGGCCGCTGCGGCCGACCCGGGTAAAACCCGAACGAAAATACCTGGGGTTTTCCAGGTATTTTCGGGTATTACCCGCACTGGACGCTGGAGATCGTCGTGGGTCACTGCCAGGCCTTCCTTATTGTTGTTCAGCTGGCCTAACGTTAGCTACTGTTGTTGGGGAGCCCCACTGTTGTTCTGTTGTTACTGTTAACACTAGCAACACTGTTCAGCTCTTAACGTTTGACAGCTCTAGGTGGCACTCTTCCACGTCTCGCTCACGCTGAGAAAAATTCTGAAACGGCGTGCAGCAGAGTCGCCGACGAGTCGGTCCGCGTGACTCCTCGTGTCCCGCACCGTTCTCACACATCCATAAACTCACTTTGGCCTCACTGAAGCGATGCCTCAATCCTGAATCCTCAGATTTTAGAAGGACGCTGTCTATACCCCCTAGTACAGAGAGACTAGCAGAGAGATAGCGTCCCCACATTGCTCCGCGCGCACAATCCGTGCAATGTCCAATGACGAGAGGTGTGTTATAAGGTATATGTATGTATTAGTAGGATCGTGTATTTTTGGACGGAGGGTGGACGCGTCCAATGGGGGGGGTAGGGGGTTGGGGGAGGGGTATATGGGAGGGGGGCGGGGACCGGGGTATCTTCGACCAACGAAAGCGTGACAGCTGCGGAGCCGGAGGGGCTGGAGAGAGCGAGTCGTAACACATCGGAACACACCCCTGCTAGCGAGGCCTGGGCGGCGGTGATGCCGCAGGCGGCGACCGCGGAGCTGCCGCGGAGCACTGCGGCTCTGCGGGGACGGCGTCGACCGGCGGTAGAGCTGTTTAACATTAACTTTGGGCCCAACAGTCGTGCGCTAGTGTTGGCTGAAATCCTGAACGTTGTTCAAGTGTTCACCACAGCCCATGCTGTTACTGTTGTTACTATTGTTACTGTTGTTCAGCGGTCAGCAAGCAGAAAATGGCAAAAAAACCGGGTAAAACCCGAAAATACCTGGGGTTTCCCGGGTATTTTTGGGTATTACCCGCACTGGACGCTGGAGATCGTCGTGGGTCACTGCCCGGGCCTTCCTTATTGTTGTTCAGCCGGCCTAACGTTAGCTACTGTTGTTGGGGAGCCCCACTGTGTTGTTCTGTTGTTACTGTTAACCCTAGCAACACTGTTCAGCTCCCCCAACGTACACAGCTCTAACCGGCGGAACGCCCACCCACGAGCGATTGGCCCGCGAGAGGAGCGAGCGCGAGGCGGGAATGAGGGCGTTCGAGCCGCCGCCGGACACGTGGAGGGGGCGGTGGAGCACGTGAGCGCGTCCGTCGTGCTCAGCCTTAACGGCGGGATATCTCGAATCAGAGGTTCCGGGTAGCTATAAGGTCTAGAAAGGCGCCGCCGCGCGCGCGCCGCGCGGGTCGGCGTGTGTTATTAATATGAGACAGATATGACGGTTCCGTCACGAACCGGTTCATCTACTTTTGTGAGATTCACCACTGAGTACGGCTCTAACTCTCACCACACTGAGTCAGAGTGTCACACTGGCGTACGTGTCGACTGTCGTGCACCTCGCAGAGATCGCGCGCCTCTCGCGTCTTGCCGGCAGCAGAGAGTGCAGAGAGAGTACTCCGCTTTACAATGAGAGGGCTTAGACGCTTAGTTGCCTGGCGCGGACATGTTCGGCGGCGTCTTCAGCGCGCCGCAGTTGTACACGCAACCCGTCTGCTTGGCCTCCGCAATCTCCCGCCATCCTGTCCACTCGACCGGGCAAATCATCGGGCAGTCGGCGAGGTGCGAGCGGTGCAGCCCGGGCTCAAACGCGCGGTGGAAGAGCCGGCCGACAGGGCTCGCCGGGGCGCCCGTTGCGATCGGCCCGTGGCACCGCTCCGCGGCTGGAACCACGTCGTCTGGCGCGGTGGCGGCGGGCGTTGCAGCGGCGGGCGCACGCATCGACTCGTTGAGCCGCGTCTCCTCGACGCTCGTGTAAAACGTAAAGGGGCCGAGGAGGCCGCGGCCGCGGATGTCGGCCGCCCTGCACGGCCAAGGCGCATTCCAGCAGGCGGTGGCGGCGCGCATCTCGCAGTAGGACACGTTCCCGCGCCGCAGCCCCCGCGACTGCTCCGCGAGCAGCGCCACTGAGTAGCGCGTGACGGGCAGCACGCAACCCCACTTTTGGTCTGCCCGCAGCGGGTGGTTGTGCTCGCGCGCGTGATTCCACGAGTCGGGCACTGGGCCGAGGCCCTCGCACAGCAGATCATGCTCGTCGCCAAAGCGCGCGAGGATCGCGGGCAGCTGCCCGGTCCAGCCAATGTCGTGCTGCAGCACCCACACGCGGCTGATGTTTTCCCGCTCGAGCCGCCGCTCGTGCATGCGGTACCAGACGAGGCCGGGGAGGTCGCAGAGGTTGGCCATCCAGAAGGGCAGCCGCGTGTCGGACCAGCGCATTGCGAAGGAGCGCTCGAGCAGCCGCGGAAAGTAGCGCGTGACCGCCTTCTCATTGACGAGCGAGACCGCCTTCAGCCCGACCGCCATCCGCAGCCAGTAGCCGGCAGACGCGTCCTCGTTGCGAATGCCCTGCGGCCGCCAGCGGCAGTAGGTGGTCCACCAGCGCGGGTCGTGGCACGCGCGCGACACCTGCACCACCCGGTACATGTGCGGCGTCGCCGCAAACTGCGCCGCCGCTCGCCGGAAGCGCTGCATCAGCCCCGGGTTTGCGTGCACGCCCCGTGCCATCGCCGACGAGGCAATCGTGTGGACCATCGCGAAGCGCAGCGGGGGCGGGACGCTCGCCGCGGGCTCCAAAGTCGATGGGCGCGGGGCCGCGCACCCAGCGGTCCCCGCGTCGAATCGCCCCTCCCGCACCTCCGCCACGGGCGCTGCCGGGTCGGCGAGGCCGTCGCCGCTGCCCGACGACGCGGCGGCGCCCGCGGGTGTTTGAAAGGAGGAGGCGAGGCCGAGGTCGGTGTAGCCGGTGCAGTGCCCGTCGGCGTAGGTCCAGGCTGTGCACTCGGCGCCGAGCTGCGCACGCGAGAATCGCGATGGCGGCACCGGCGGCGGCGGCGGAAGCGCGAGGTAGTCGTCGCAAGCGCGCCGGCAGGCAAAGGCGGTGGCTCGTCGGCCGAGGTCGAGATCGCGCCTCACCGTGCGCTCTCGCTCGCAGACCTGCGGAGAGAGGATGCGTCCAAACTCGTCGACGCATCGGCACGCGGCGCAGGCGCGGCAGCGGCACTCGGTGCACGCACGCGCGGCAGCAGCCGGCAGCAGTCCGCTGGCACGGAGGGGCGGCGGCAGCGAGGCGGCGTGCTCGGATGAGAGGTTGGCCGGAAGCAGGGCCGCGCAGTCGGGGCTGCACCGGGGCGGCTTCAGCCGCCACTGCCCGTGGGCGCGGCAGAGGCTGGCCGTAGCGGGCATTCGTCGGCCGGAAGTAGCCGGCGGGCAGCGGCGGGCGGGTTGGTTGGGGTGGCTGGGGCGCTCGATCTCGACCACGAGCGATGCCAAAGAAAGAAAAGAAATTGACAATGAATAGAGCAGTCATCTCCAGGAGAGAGGGGCGACGCACGAACACAGAGGCAGGTGATTAAAGAAATAAATAAATAAAACACGCAAGCCAAGGGAGGGATGGGAGGACGGGCACGCCGGGAATAAGATTTTAAGATTTTTTTGCGCTGCCAAGGTCTCTGTTGGGCAACTCACTTCCATCAGCGCTCGCTTAGTCATGGCGCCGCTACCCTCCAAGCCCTCCGAGCTCAAGCGTGTGGTCTCGAAGGGCGTGAACCAGAAGGTTCGCAGCCTCAGCAATCGGCAACGGTCGCGCCTCTCCGAAGAGGATGAGGATAACGGGCGTGAGGCGTTCCTTGGCAGCACGTTCGCGCATGGCCAAGAGCCCCCCGCCGGCTTCACCCAAGACGCGTCTCGCACGTCGAGCATGGGCGTGCATCGCAACGGCTCCCAGATGCCGCAAGGCTACGGCTACGGAGCGCCTCCGCCGCCGCCGCCGCCGGGAGCGCACGGCGGCGGCCGCTCCGCCGAGGAGCAGGAGGAGATCGACCTGGCGCTCGCGATGGCGGCGTCGATGGCCACGCACGAGCAGGAGTCGCGCGCCCCTCCGCGCGTCTCCGCCGACTCCGCCGCCGAGGCGGACGAGGAGGAGCAGCTCCGCCGTGCGCTGGAGCTCTCCAAGCTTGAAGACACCACCCGCAGGCCTCTCCTCGCCTCCTCGCCTCGCCTCCTCCCTCGCCTGCTCGCTCGTGCCACCCGCTCGCCCTGCTCACAACTTCTGCTCGCCATGAGCACATGAACATGAGCAGGGCACACCCCGGCACACCTCCGCACACCCCGGCACACCCCGGCACACCTCCGCACACCCCGGCA